TTAGACAATCTACCTGAGGATCGCATAATTCTATTTCAAAGGCCTATGACAAAGGTAGTATTAGCGAAAGCCAATGTTATCGATGGTTTGAGCGATTTCAAAGTGGAAACGAGAGCCTAGAAGATGAGCATCACGAAGGATGTCCACGAAGGTTAAATGAGTCTCAACTTTTGCAAATGATCGAAGAAGATCCCACTTGCAGCACGAAGGAGTTTTCGGAAATGTTCAATGTTCATCATAGCACCATTGAAGAGCATTTATATTTGAGTGGAAAGCGAAACAGATGCGGAAAATGGGCCACACATGAACTGACCCTCAATCACAAAATTACCCGTATGAACACTTGTTCACTTTTAATTCAAAAATCAAAAGCGCATGATTTTTGGAAATGAATTGTTACTTCTGATGAAACGTGGAAATTATATGATAACGTTAAGCGCAAGCACCAATGGCTATCACCAAAGCAAGCCACGGTTGTCACCTCAAAACCTGGTCTGCATGGAAAGAAGTTGATGTTGTGCGTATGGTGGAACTATCATAAATTGGTTTATTTTGAACGGCTCAAGCCGGGTGAAACTGTCACAGCTGAACTTTACAGTGAGCAATTAAAGGTGTGAGTCAAGCTTTATCGAAATCTCGACATGACAGTTCAAAAATTCGGTTTTTGCATGGTTTCTGCATTTTTTTCAAAAATTCGGTTTTTGCTTGGTTAATGCAAAACCGCACATGGCAAAGATGACCCTCCAACAAATCGAAGAGATCCAACCCAATAGTTATTCGTTCAAGTTTCGTGACCCATTTTAAAATATGCTCTTGCTGCCGTAATCTTTGGTAGTTTAGCATCATTTCTACCATAGCCTTACTTAACGTAGCCTTTGGAGTCTCTTTCTACCGTAATCGCAGTATTTCTAATGGCATAATTTCTACCATAAGAAACTTCTACATCACGCTCCATACAGTCCTGCCTTGACCCCATCAGACTACCACTTATTCAGGTCTCTAAAGCAGTTCATCTCCGATCAGCTGTTCAAGGATTTTCGGGAAGTCGAAAATGCGGTCACCAACTATTTTTCGTTAAAAAGTCCCCAGTTCTTTGTAGATGGAATTATTGAATTGAGCAAAAGATGACATAATGTCCTAAATAATAATGGAGAATACCTTTTATATTAATCATTGTTTTTTGAGATAAAAATTCAGGTCAAAAAATTTGCATTATTTTCCCGCCAACCTAATACTTTACCGTTATACTGTAATGAGTTGAAGCTTTACTGTTAGTTTTACTGGAAAACTTTAGCCTTATCTTTTGAAGTGTCTAACTAACAAGTGAACAAGTCTAATATGGATAATAAACAATTCTAATGGGGGGGAGAGCGGCGCCGAAAACAAAGAACAACTTATAGCAGACTTGTCAAATGATAGCGTTTGATACCGTAGAAGGGTAACAATCTCTACAAAATAATATAAAAGAGAACCAAACGCGCCCCGCTCAAGAAAGCCACACAAAAACTACAAACGGACTAGAACCATTGGTGGGACCCGCAAATTTGGCAACAGTAACAAGTGCCTATCTTTTATATAAACACCAAAGAAGGTTATGTGGAGAAACGCCAGCAATGAGTCGGACTTTTCATTTTGATTAGCTGTGTTTGGGAACCATAAAACCCAAAAAGAAAAGCTTTTGGCATCTCTCAAAGCCATTTTGTAAAGAATAGTGGACCATTTGTGAACAAAGTGTTTTAGAAGGTTTTATGGTGCAGTTTCTTTAATTTCGGCGCCGACTCATTCTCCCCAACCCAATAGCATGCATTAAAGTTAGCAAATTGGGGTACTTTGTGCTCAAAAACTGAAAACACATTCTTTCTGGTGCTGAATGCTTCGATTTTCTCACAACAACGACTTGATTTCGCGAGAAAAAAATGAGAAATTGCCTCCACCAGAAAGAAGGTGTTTACAAATATGAGCAAAAAGTACCATAGAAACCATAGATTTCTTATCAAAAGCCAGCTAATGACCTTGTTAAGCCAGCTAATTAACTTCTTAAGCTAAAGGTACTCAAACTTTAGCTTCTTAAGCTTCTTTAGCTATCAGTACTCAAACTCACACAAAAACCCGATCGTCACAAAAGACAGAAAAGATGTGGACTTTCTCGATTTGTTGGGCATATCGGAATAACGGAAAATATCAAAAAATAGAATAAGATACGATTAGAATAAGCCGAGAATCGACACTGTACAAAAAATGAAGGTGGACAAAGCAAGAATGGATCGAATCTCTATGAGAAGGCGGAGTACAAACGGCAAAAACCCATTCGGAGATCCCAATCTGCCCCTCTTTACCCCCTTTTTTTACCCCTTTGTCCTCTTGCTTTCACTTTTGAAGTCTTGCAATTATTTTTTTCTTTCATATGACTTTTTTTTGTTTGATTGTCCTCATTTGAAGTTTTTCCAACAGTTTTTTCAAGCTGACGACTGTTGCTGACCGATTTCACCATGACCATTCGATGAACGAAACGGTGAACAACAAAAAAAAGTACAAATCCTATGTCTGGCTTGATACAGGTCAATAGAATATAGCAATTTAGATGATAAATCATCCAAAACAACTCTACTAAGCAATTTGCATTTAAAATTTAAGCTTTATCTATTTAATTGAGTCAAAATTGATACTATAATTTTGTTTTTTCTTTCGTAAGAAATTATTTCGTAGTTTTCCCTAGCTGTGAGCCTCTGTTTGTATTTTTCACTGTATTTGTGCAGAAATAGAACAAACGCATGACATTTGGTGCACGGCTTAATTTTAAAAACCCTTAAAATTACCATTTATGGCTTACAATCAAAAAATTATCATTTATTTGCTCCATTCGAGTAATCCGTTTTCTAAAAGACACAGATTTTAGAAAACACCGTAACTCAAACGCCAGTTTTTATTCAATCAACCAAATTTTGGTGTCTTTGACTGAACTGATTCCTCATCGAATGAAACCAAAATTGAATCAATCAAATAAAACTGGCAGTTCGATTAAGGCATTTTTCTAAAATTGGTGTCTTTTAGAAAAACCTAAATCGAAAGACTTTACAAGCTCTTCAACTCTATTTTGTTGCAAAATGCGGTATACCGTCATTCGATGCATTTTCAGCAGTTTGGCAATATCCGAAGTTGATCGTCCTTGTGCTCCGAGCTGAAGAATAACGGCACGGTTGGGAGAAGCCTTCACCATTATGTTCAAACTTAAAAATTTGCTTAAAAACTGCTACATAATATAAAAACGCATTCAAATTAAGAAAAATAATCCTTTGGCAAGAAATAAAAATCAATCAGTTTCTTAAATCAATGTTACAACCTTGTACTCATACTTATGCCGCACCCTGTATTCGAAACACTCATAAGCGTTTCCCAATAATTTCTTTTCTTCATAATGTGCTTCCTGGTTGAATCTATGTCTTATTTATACCATTTCAGATCAAAATTCACTCCTTGTCATCACTCAGAAGTTCTCCTCACAGTTTTCCCTAGCTGTGAGACTCTGTTTGAAGTTTGAGTTTCACCGATGCTCCGACCAACGGAACAACGAACCAGCACAAATGTCTAATTTTCATTATCTATCTCTTTAGCCACCTAAACCACCTCCAATACTCCCAAAGCAAATCTTGGCTTATTTTTAATCCAGTTCCTTACAATCAGGATTACTTAATATTACTAATATTTCGATGTGTTTAAATGCTGCTTTTTTTTATTGTGTTGCAAGCTAAACAGAGATTTTTACACAAAATCAAATCACAAAATTAGAACTTTTACATATTAAAAAAAATCTCAGAGAAAAGCAATCACTTATAAAAAACGAATGATAGAAGAAGCGGGACAAACGCTTTAGCGCACGTTGGGCACATGATTTCTTCCAGCACATCAAAGTGATCTTGAAGCGGTAGTGTTCCACAACTCGAACAACTCGGACAATTTATGTAATTTGCAACCGGGCAACGGTCATCTTCAAATCGCTTTCTTTCGTTACTCGACAAATCTTCTTCGACCCAGTAGACATCATAAAAACGACAATTATCCAGTACTTCCCTATCTCTTACCCGGAAAAACCCCCGATCACCCGCTTCGCGTCCCCAATTGTTCATGAAAAGGAGATACTCTGGTTGAACTTTGACCAGAACTACAGCGTGTCCTGTTTCCGGATCTTCCGGATTTATCGAATCTTGTTTATCATCATCAGCGTCTAAAGCGCTCTGAAGAAACGCCCGTTGGAGTTCTTTCGTAAAATCCTTTAAAACTTTTCCATTTACTATCAGTGAGGCTAAATGTGACAACTACGGGTCGTCTTTCCGTGATGGCCTCTCGAGCTTCCTCCTCGGTATGTAGCTCTTCGCAGCGCAAGCGATACCTTGGGCAAAACGCATCGAGCACTTCGCTTGTGCTTGCCCCTTGGTCCGTCGGTGGATATTTAGAAAATATGTCCTTACGAATGTCTTCCAAACTTGAATATTGATTATCTCTTTTATAAATCCGGTGTTGTGACAAAAAAATCGAGTGGCTTGCGGCATGGGCATAACAAGTAAGTAAGACCAGTAATCACAGAATTTGCGTTTATCCTTTAATCAACATGAAAATCCATATCTTGGCTGCTTGACGCGACTTTTTTTAAAAATGCAATAAATCCGGTAATATCTTTTGTTTTTGATCTTTCTTTTGTTTTGGTCTGGCACCTCCTTGGGTTAGGAGTCAGATTTGTATTCAATATCTTTCAAATTCAATAGCAAAAGTTGCAGAAAATTAACTCTCTTGCAAGTTCACATTTATAGTCCTTTCAAAAGACTTTGAGTCTAACTCTTATCAATTCCAGAGCCTTTTCTTTGCAGGCTTTGTAGAAAGACAAAAATGAGTTTATAAGGGCTTTATTGCCATTGTTATCAGTAGATTTAATAGTGTGTGGAAGAGCTAAAAACTTCATTTTTCGAAACTTCAACTGACTCAAATTTTTTCAGAATTTCATTCTAATGAATAAGAAAAGGGTTGGGATTTTTGCGGCCGTCATAACTGGCATCGTGATTCTTGTTGTTGCCATCGTTGTCACCGTGGTTTTGGTTACCAGAAAGAAGGACAAGAAACCGGAAAGTCCCAGTCCCAGTCCATCATTGGACGATATAATCACTGCTAATTCAACATTTCCCAATGGAACTTATTCGATTCTTGTCAGTTCCCTGAATTCTGGTCCACCCGAGCAAGCGCCGCTTGCCGTGAATCTCACCATGTTGAACTCATTGGGAATGATTGTTGACAATTCATCTTTCATTGCTCAAGCCAACAGATTGAGTTATTTATTTGTACGCCTCCCAGATGATTCTACAAATGCTAACAGGTGACTCTTACTTGATGTCACCGTAATTTCAGCCATTTCAGAGTGCAACATCAGCTGATGAGTCCAAATGGGGGAAATGTTGGGATTCGATTTGGAAACTCAGACACTCTGAACGTAATCCCATTGAATTTGTCGCTAACACTCAATTCGGGAGTTCGTTTTCTCGGCGCACTCTCGGATCGCAGTCTTGTCTACGCATTGGAAGTGACGATGGCTGACGCGATGTGCTCGAGTGATGATTCGGGATCGTGTTCGACCGTCAATTGGACACCATACTCGGTCTCAGAGTGAGTAGGCAAATTTCAGTCGCAAATTACGTGAATTGTGCGGATGAAAACGTTTCACTTGTCAAATTGTAAGACTGTAAACTTTCTATACAAAGCCCAAATTGAAAACGAGGCAAATATAAAACAGCTGAAATAGCAAATGACCGCAATTTGAAAGTGCCCTATTCTCCCGCCTAGCATACTACTTTTGAATTATGGAATTTCAGACTTTCAGCGCCAAATCGTTGTCTTTTTTGGCATTTGTGTGAAAAAGTCTTTTAGCGGAAACCTCGCAACAAAGTCTACTTTTGATAATGAACTTCCCGTGGCGTGTGGCTCTCAATGTGATTTTGGTGACAATTCACCGTGTGCCACAACCTGTTATACATGCGATGGACAACAAGTCGCCGGGGAAAACACCCCCATAAGTCGAGTATACAATATGGGTTCCACCGAGGCCACCAATCTGCAATTCGTTTATGAAACCTACGAAGTTCCGGACAAAGTCACTGTGTATTATGAGGGAAAAGTCATTTTTGATAGTGGTTGTCTCGGAACGAAGGGAGCACGAACTGCTCCTCTTAGTTATTCAGGTCAGTGTTATCATGCTTAGAATCTCTAGGGAGTTTTCTAAGTACTTTCATTCACGTTCTAGCAATTTATGAACCTGAGACTCTTTGCCTAAGATCTAAAAATGAGAATATTTAAACATTAAAGATTCTCTATTCAAAATATTCTCTTATCTTAAATCTCTTTAAGCTTTAAAGATTCTCTATTCAAAGATTCTCTCATCTTAAATCTCTTTAAACTTTAAAGATTCCTATCTGTTTGGATTAGACATGTATTTCGGTTCGGATTGTCGGTTCGGATTTTCGGTTTGAATGACCTTTCGAATAATCCAGACCGAATCGAAATCGCGTCGGTTTAGATAATCATCCGATATCTGATATCAAATAATTCTTCTATTCGAATTTCTATATCTCATAGTTTAGACTATGCTAATCAAGCCTAATAAACTTATTATATTCTCTATTACATTCGCAATTTCAATCAGATAAACCAAACTTGTTTTAATTGCTCAAAGTTTTCAGTCTTTCCCGTTAACATAGGTGAACAGCCGTTAACAGAGATTCTGAGGCAGCTCTAAACATTCTGAGGCAGCTCTAAACATCCTGAGGCAGCTCTAAACATTCTGAGGCAGCTCTAAGCATTCTGAGGCAGCTCTAAACATTCTGAGGCAGCTCTAAGCATTCTGAGGCAGCTCTAAACATTCTGAGGCAGCTCTAAACATTCTGAGGCAGCTATAAACTCAAAATCGCTGTCTTATTAGGTCATCCAGCATCGAATCAAAATGAAACATTAAGTAGAAAAAAGAAAACTTCATTTCTAACCAAAAGTAAAAGTTATTCATTCTCCCAAAAGGTTTTTTCTTGCAATAACGTTTGCTAGTTCGTTCTAATTCGTACCATTTTAATATTGGTTTAAAATACAAACTCTATTGTAAAATGAAATCCAGGAAAATCCTCTGAAATTCGAGTCGACGTGACGCCGAATTGTCTTGGTACGGAGGACACGGGATGGTATTTCATTCTTCAGTGTCCCGATGCGACTCGCAAAGGCTTTGACGCCTCGCGGGTGAGCAAAGTTTTGATATTCTTGCTAAAGTAATATACATTATGGAAAGTTAGTCTATTGCATTTTGAAGTCAGTCCATTGCATACAATTGCTTTTCATGATTCTTATTTCAAAAATTACGTATTTCCGAGGATCGATCCATTTTTGAAATTTCTTTTGAATCAAAAAACTGGGTTGATTGTTTTTATTGTTTTTTAAAAACTGGGGTTGATTTTTTTCTGACAGCTAAACATCTTTTGTGTAATTGTTTAGGGAATTATTGGGTTGGTGGAAAAGTCCTTTCGGATTTTTTGGGAGAGTACCTTAAATTTGTCCAATTTTGCCGTTTCCTAGCTCATCCTAAAGCTGAATTCAAGACGGATCGATTGGCAAAAGCCGTTTTGAGATATCTCTTTTCTAAAAGTTTTTACAGCTATTTTAGTAAAGGGCGGCAGAGCCAAAAAATGGCTGTTTTCACGTTTCGTTAGTTTTCCGTGCAGAAACCTAGGCTAAAAACATGTGTTTCGTGATCGGCGTCAAAAATAACCCCTAGACACACATTTTCAGAATCTTAGCAAAAAATTTCTGAAAAATATTGTCACCGGTGGGAGTCGAACCAGTGACCCTCAGATCAATAGCCTTTCCGCCGCTTTTCGCTATTTTCCTTCGTTTTCCCCCTTTTTTTTGTTTTATCATTTTTTTTGATGTTGTTAGAAGGCTTTTCTCAGGGCTTTTTTAGAACGAGAAAAAAGAAGGAAAAACGAAGGAAATCGCGAAAAGCGGCGGAAAGGCTATTGATCTGAGGGTCGCTGGTTCGACTCCCACCGGTGATAATATTTTTCAGAAATTTTTTGCTAAGATTCTGAAAATGTGTGTCTAGGGGTTATTTTTGACGCTGATCACGAAACACATGTTTTTAGCCTAGGTTTCTGCACGGAAAACTAACGAAACGTGAAAACAGCCATTTTTTGGCTCTGCCGCCCTTTACTAAAATAGCTGTAAAAACTTTTAGAAAAGAGATATCTCAAAACGATTTTTGCCAATCGATCCGTCTTGAATTCAGCTTTAGGATGAGCTATAAAACATCAAAATTGGACAAATTTAAGGTACTCTCCCAAAAAATCCGAAAGGACTTTTCCACCAACCCAATAATTCATTTTTCGTTTTTAACGTCTTTCATCTCTCACAGTGTGCCTCTTTTAAAAAAGATTTCTCTCAAAAGCATATTGATGTTTCTTTTTTCAGCCTGTCGATATGAAAGCATTCGATTGCATGAAGAAACAAGGTTTTGATTTCTTTATTGGCGAAATCTCATGGCCAGACGGATCAATTAATGGGGATGGAATAACGGCTATCGGGAATGCGATACAATGTGAAAATCGTTTAATTCTATTTTGTAACAAGCCATTTCTTTAGCCGGATTTAGAGCCGATGCTTATATATTTCCATGCGCAAAGGGTGATTGTCCTGGGATTGACGCAAAAACACAGGTTATTTAACTAAACGAAAAGTGAATATCGAAGGAGTAGCGTCATTTTTGCGATATTTGAAATGTTTGGGGTTTTTTAAAGTCCTTAGGGTTGGCAGATTTCATCTCCGAAGATTCGGGTATTTTATTGGTCAATCACCCCTAGAGGGTCTTCCGATTGAGCCCTCTAATAGAAGTTTTGATTATTTTTGTTGCTTTGTGAAATAATTTGACAGAATCTACTTAATTTTGGAAGAGTTTTTACGAGAAATTTCCAGGTCACGAATTGTCTCTCGAGTCTAAGGTCGAGCGTTCGAGGTTTCACCGGGATGATATGGCTGGATATTGAAATGTGTGTGAAAACTCAAGAATGCACGAGCAATTAGTGTTTTTTGACTAATCATTTCCACCAATACTTGCCTAAGCTTGATCATAGCCTAGGTCATACGATTTTAGCCCAGGTTTCTGCAGGAATTTTTAGAAAATTTCTCCTTGAAAGGCCATAACTTCAGTTATAGGCTTCCAATAAACAAACAATGTAAAAAGTATTATAAAGTTCAAAAAGCTCTTTAAAAATATGATATTCCCATTTTTCTAGCTTCACGGGATTTTGAGAAATAGCTCTTGCGATGCGGGATTCCCGTTTCGGGAATTCCCGAATTGAAAGTCGGATTTAAAAACACATTTTCTCAATCACCAATAAAGCTAGAAAAATGGTAATATTATATTTTGAAAGAGCTTTTTGAACTTTATAATACTTATTACATTGTTTGTTTAGTAAAAGCCGAGAACTGAGGCTATGACCTTTCAAAGAGAAATTCCCGAAAAATTTCACAAGTCCGTTTTAGCTCAGAGCCGCCAGTCAATTCTCATGCTTTCTGGTCCAATAGCCAAACTGTGAATCGTGCTCTCATCACCGACTTTGCCAATGCACTTGCCGTTCGCGAAACACTTTCAATTTGCGGGAAACTCAAAATTTAGGGAGAAAATTGGGGCATTTACACGAGGGCCAACGATTGGGCGAAAATTGTCGGTGATTGGGATGAGTACACGAATTTGCCACTTTGGTGGATCAATCCATCGTCCACTATACACGTAATTCCTATTTCACAATTTGCTGATTAAAAGAAATCTAGAATTGGAGCCCATTTCATAACTTTATTTCGCCATCCATGGTCCAAGGGCAGGGGCAAACAATGTGCGGAGTCGGCGTTGATCTGGATTATATGCTATAAAGTTTTGCTTGTTTATCAGATTTAAATAAATGCCTTAAGAAAAAAAATAAAAAACATAGAGACACAAAAAATGACAATCAAAGAAGATGACAACAGCTGCAAACGAAATCACGAATTTGGAGTTGAATGAAATATATTTTAGATTTTAAAACATAAATGCAAAGATAAGTGACACCTTTACAGTTGTGATGAATGGTAACAAAAAGTAGATTGACAACCAATTGTGCCAACATTCGATCAGATCTTCGAGGTGGTATAACTAAATAAATGGTCTTGAATGTTGGAAGCGCATTAACAAACCAGGGCGGACAAAAGAACCGAGGGAAACGTGCTCTCTCTCGTGCATATTTTAACTTACTTTCAAAAGTAAAGTAAAATATAGTTCAATATACATCTATTAAACAGTTTTCGAGTTTTCTGAAAAAACTTTGAGGCACTTAAAAATGCATGAAAATAAAAGTATAGTTTTACAACTTTTCAAAAGGGCAAAAAGAGGAAAAACGGCAAAAACGCGTTTTAAGCCTCAGGCCCGAAAACCCTTAAATTTCAACGAATTTCCCAAACTAAAAGCTTACCAACGAGAGCTTTGCCTAAAACGCCCGGAAAAGTTGTAAAACTATACTTTTATTTTCATGCATTTTTAAGTGCCTCAAAGTTTTTTCCGAAAACTCGAAAACTGTTTAATAGATGTATATTGAACTATATTTTACTTTACTTTTGAAAGTAAGTTAAAATAATGCACGAGAGAGAAGACACGAAATAATTCCCTCGGTTCTATTTAATTGTCCGCCACTGTATATGACATTGTATAAAGTGATTGATGAAACAATGATGAGACTTTGGCCGCCCTAAATGAAAATGAGTTCTTTTCAGGTAATAGCTTAACCTCCAATCCTTTATTCCCGTGTAAATATTGATGGCACTTGCGCCAAAGACAATCACCATTCCCATGAAAACGTAGTAGAGCAAATTGATATCAAGAGTTGTTATCTAAACAAAATATTGCTGACCATAAAAATTTAAAACTTTACCTCAAATCCCAGCAACGAGATAAAGTAACGAGCAATCTCCGACACAACAATCGTCGTTGGGCTGCCTGAATTAAAACTAAAAGAACATTTAGAATGAATCAAATCACCTTGTACATAGTAGACCATCAAAACCGACAATGATGAGAGCGTTGGGAAAAGCAACTTGTGACGCCATCTAAAAGAAATCAATTAATCATTAAATCCCACTGAAAATGGCCGTTAACATTTACAGGCTTGTCGTTAATCGATTTACCTATCTGACAACCTAATTAGCATTTAACACCACAAATATAAAATGCTTCTCCATAAAAATCATTTCATTAATCTGAAGAATTGGCCAAGGTCGCCAATCAAAAATAGACGAACGCGTGGACGAGATGATCGCCGAGAGGAAGGCCAAGAATTTGTCTCGAACAGTATTTGCAACGTAAACTTGATACTTAAATACTTTTTCGGACGTGTTCATAAATATCCAGCAATATTCATCAAGTATCCCAATGTGTACTTCTTTAACGCAATGGATTTATCTAGTGAATGTAACTGAAATGAGGAAGGTATTTATGTGCAAAATGGAAGGCACCGTAACAAATTTGTACAGTTATAACAAATTTGGATGTATGTGCAAAGCGAAAAAAACAGTTACAAGTTATCAAAGGAGAACACAAATTCCATAAGCACGATTGGCATCATACTCTTTGGCGATCCAGTAGTCATCAAGATCGGCAACGCCGTGTTTCGACTTGGGCACAATTTCACGACGAGCTGGATCAATCCCGATCAACTTGTAGGTTCTTCCATCGTAGTGATAAGTCGATGCGTAAGCAAGAGTAGTCTTTGAACCAGGAGAGCAGTAGATGCCGTAAGCATAAGCAAAGCGTACCCTTTTTGCCTAAAAGAAATACAAGTTAGATAAACTCCAATATGAAAAACCAAATCAAGTCCACCACTTCGAACAATTCCTACAGCACGTGGATCTGTTGTCCCACGGTAAGCGACTAGCCATTCATTTGGGGCAAAATTCTGGCCACTTAGGCAATTAAAATCAATATACATTTTAGATATTTCAGTGGATTTTCTTTCAGCTTAGCCACTACAATTAGCCCCTTTTGTATAGTAATATATACTTTATCCATCAAATAAAGTGATCCAATGAATGACACAGTAGAATAATTGAAAGTTAAGCTTGTAAAATATCAACGTATGCAAAAATTGTGCAATGTCACAGATCAAAAAGGAGTTTCTACCTAACACGGAAAGACACAGATTCCATATGGACGAATGGCATCATTTTTCTTGATAATCCAGTAATCATCAAGGCCAGCAATACCGTGTTGAGACTTGGGCACAATTTCACGATGAGATGGATCGACACGAGCCTGAAACAAAATGAATCTTTCCAACAAATCAGTTACTTATTGACTATTAAAGTCCGTAACAAATCCCACCTGGACGATCAACTTGTAGCTTTTTCCATCGTGCTCGTAAGGAGATGCATAATAGAGCGCAGTCTTTGGATCTGGTGTGCAGTAGATACCATAACCAAAAGCAAAGTGCATTCCTTTCCCCTAGAAGAATATTTTGTAAAAAAGGATCCACGATTACAGACTATTTATTCAAAAGCCAAAATAACAAACCAAATCAAGTCCACCGCTAGCAACAATTGATGCAGCACGCGGATCCGTTGTTCCATGATAAGCAACTGGCCATTCGCCATGAAGAGAGCCGCACTCAATTGGGCTAAACCGGTAGTTAACAAAATAAAACAGGAAAAATTACCGCTCAACGTATCCGAGCCAGGCATTGTCCCCGTATTTGTCAAGAACATCGAGAGCATAACGCATTGACCCCAGTGGGCGAATGTAATCAGCTCCACCACGAGCGAATAGTTGCCGATCGATCAAAATCTTCGTGAAATCGCAATTGAACTTTTCGGCAAAGCATCCCGGGTGCATTTTGTAAGCGCTGCATCTTCCTCCTCGGCGTCTCGGCATCAAACGACGAGCAGCATCACGAAAGCGAGCTTTCTTATCTTAAGGTAAACTTTGCCAGAAAATTGACTGTACAAACAAACTGGGTATTTAATAGCTGCTATTAAATACCCAGTTTGTTTGTACAGTCAATAACTCGGACGTTTTAAACTTCGAATTGTTTTTATCACAAAAAAATGCTTGTGCACTTGAAAAATTGACCTTACCATTTTCAACAGTCTTCTGAATCGTATTCACATTGAAAAAGAGGTCGCGTGGTTCAATCATCCTTTCAGAATCCAAATCTGAATCCGAATCCGAATCCGAATCGGAATCGAGATCTGAATCGAAAGCCTGATTGTTGAGACGACGCATGTGATAGTTAATACCAGCAAGAAGTGCTTTAGCTAAACAAAGAAATTTAGTCAATAGCAAAACATGAAATAAATCCACCATTGTTCAGAAGGGACGCCATATTGAAACCAGTCACCGATTTCGAGAAGGTAGGTCACTGAAAGAAAATTCGTTGAAATTTCTGCTCGATAGCATTCAAAGCATAAAAAAACAAGTCCGCTAACAATTCAAAGGGTATATTAAGAATATAATTTTACAACTACTTATCTCACACCAACTAAAAACTTTCTCAAACACTTATTTGGATTGCCACCTCCGTAAATTCCAATTACTTAAAGATTAATCGAACAATCATTAAACCATGAAACAACTGATATTGGATACGCTCCTCGATTTCGAGAAGTGGAGCTAACGAACAAGAAACAAATTATGCGAGCTGTAGTAGGACACAAATCAAGAAACGAATGTTAAAAAATACGATTCAAACGTCATCTAGGAGCTATTCATAACGTGCCAGCGTTGACATCGTAGTGTTGCTAAGCAATCCGCGCGAATTTCTCTAGAATGACACAAGGGGCAAGTCAACTTCCACAACCGGCGGTGGTCTTGGTTTTTACAAGGTTTCCTGCAATTTATAGGCTTATAACTGTCCAAAGTGCGCTAGAACTATCTTAAAAAGCCAAGATTAACCCACTTAGAAGAAAGTTATGGCGAGTTGCGCCAAAAATTTGGCGCAAAGTAGCCACCCCGTGAAATTGTCTATGACAAGCTAAAAACGCTAGTGCAACACATAAATTTGAAAAAATTGCTGCTTTCGGAATTTGGAGAATGAAATGACAAACGATTCCCCTTCCGGCGAAAATTTCCTGTACAACTCAAAATATTCAATTGAACAATTGCTTCCCGATAAAAATTTGACCGGATTTATACTTGCAAAATCAATGCGATCGTCGTCGTCAAATTATCGTCCATATATCCGTTTACTCCTAGGAACGAACATACTAAAATAGATAGGATTTTGTATCCTCCGCATGAAAATTCATAGCATAACCGCTAAGATTGCTATTTGCTAAAGAACCAATAAAACTTAATATGCGCATTTTGCAAAAACAAAAAAAAAATAATAATCTATTCTTATGTTCAAGTTGTCCAGATTTGTCTTTTTGGAAAATTTAAAAGTACAAACGTTGTGAAAATCTGCATACTGTGATCTGGATGTAATGAAGCAGTAGTTGTCAATGGAACAATTGATGAAAAGATGAAAAGAGCTCGAGATTTTGAATCTCAAGGTTTTTCTAACAACTTAGAACTATCAGTGTTTGTCTTACATTTTCTTGTGGCTGTAAGGGATTTTTTGAAACATTTTCCTATTAATCATTTTAGAAAAAAAAGCACTTCTACAAATTATTACTTCTACAATTAGCGTCTTCTGTATAATAATATACTTTATCCATCAAATAAAGTGATCCAATGAATGACACAGGAAAATAATTGAAAGTTAAGCTTGCAAAATAACAATGTATGCAAAAATTGTG